ATACCGAACCGAAATACCGAATGCCCACCCTACGTGACGGGCGAGGATGATGGCTTAAAAAATTAGGCTTTAGATATTTATGACTAATCAATGATATAAATACAAATATAAATAATTGTAATACAAACTAACCAAATCCTGTGAAAGATCCTCAACATCCCTCGGTGATGAGCCATAACTCAGTTGGTGCCCACTATCCACATCTCATACTGGACGATCATCAGCAACTATCGATGCATGTAAAGGGTCAGGAAAATACTCATCCCAGTCATGTGAGGTAATGGTCGTGCCCACGATCAACAATGGAGCTGACAGAGTCACCTGCAAAGTCCCTGGAGTAAGACCCAGGCTAAATGATGGCATATCACTAGGAGCATGGTGTGGCTCAGGTGGTCACCCGACTGATCAACTCCAACATCCTCAACAGGTGCCTCAACGCCCCCTTGCTAGGGACTACCTCATCGCCGACCCCTACGACCTCGTGGGACACCCCTACCTCTCTGGGCACGCCTGCCACGTCGACCACGTTCAGGCTGCACTGCTGGCCCACGATGGTACTACTCTGGCACCATATAATCAACCTCATGTCCTAAGCGCTCATCATCTCGAGCTCATTGCAATGTTCGGGCAGCCAAATTTGTAACCTGTTGGCCATACTCGTGCAAAGCGGTCGCTCTCTCACTGGTATGCTGCTGCAGCTGCAGTCCCAACTTGTAGAACAAATGTAGGCCAATAGCCTGCACAATATGTAAAATATTAATTACGGAAAGGTAAGGATACCGTTATAACTAAGTATACCAAATAACATACCAGTGCCTCATGCCTCCCGGCGTATGGAACGAAGCGATCGACAACGATGAACGGGATTCTCGACGAAAAGTCGGGTAATGCTGCGGTACCAACCCATATACTCATGCTCACCATCCATATGCTCGGGGGGAGGGGGTGGCAGAATCAGTTCACGTCGCTGGTCCCAAATCTCAATCTGCAACTCTAGCCATGCCTCATATGCCTAGTTAACCCTCGAACGATCATCCCACTGGTAATGTGTCCTAACAAGCGGGCGGTAGAGGTACAAGCTGCGGTCGACCAAACTGGCGAAGGACTTGCTCGGTGGCATGATGATAGACAATATCGAGACACATCAACAGGACGGAAGAGCTCCACATAAGTTTCTCGGTCGAGCAATAATCGGGCAAATCGGTTATTAGCTCGTCGCTATATGGCCTCCAAATGAAGTATTACGTTAAAACATGAACTGTGAGTATACGCAACACATATAATCCAGGCCAAGTAAACTTAAGTATAGAATTACCTTCCAGCTTCCAGTAAATCCAACAAATCCCTGCAATAGGGGAGATTATGTCGAGCCTCGTACTCGCGTCCATACCCTCGCCTATCAACCCACCTCCTAGCTAAAGAGAGAAATGGTTGAGGTGGTGCATCCTAAGCAATGGGTGGTAGAGGTAGCTGCAACTACAGGAACCGCTCCCATGCCCAAACCTAATATACAATTTAGACGTAGAATTTAAGGTATATTTTTATGATGTATGTTATAATGAAGAGAGTATTTGACTATGTTTTCACCTACAGCAGCGGCAAAAATCCTGCAACGTCTCACTGGGTGCCCATGCTCGCCCGGCACATCTGCCTGTACAATTAACCAAGAACAATAGCACCCCAATTGTAATCATGTAAATCATCTAGCTGCTCAAGATGATGAAGAAATTTTAATCTGACTAGGTTTCCCGAAGTGTTCGGGAACAATACCCCTCCATACATAAGCAGCAGCAACAACAACCTCGTGTACCGGTTAATATGAAGATCTGGTGTATCATCTGTAATGTCAGCATGCATCACCTCCAGATGCAGTCGGACGGGCATCAACTGCAGACGACTAGCCCCAACCAATGCACTCTCATCCGCTGGCCGAAAACCGGTGAGCCGTTGCAACGTCTCTAGGTACTGATCTCCCATATACTCTCTCATGGCATGGGGCAAAGCAATAGGAAGTCCATCAACCGGCAGCCCATACAAAACCTCCACGTCCTGCAGCGTGATAGTGGCCTCGCCAATGGGCAAATGGAATGTGTGCGTCTATGGTCACCACCACTCTATCAAAGTCGTGATCAACGACCAATCCAGCTGCAGCTGGCCGATCTCAATAATCCCATAGAAACCTGTATCCTGCAGGCGTCGGACTATACAGGGATGGAGATGGCGGATCTTAAGAAAGTCCCACATATCGTCTACTCTTCTAGCATGGAAAGTTCGGGCCAATAACTGCCCCTCCCATATGTAGGAATATCTATGCTCGGCCAGTTGCAATAGTAGCTCTAGCGAGGCAGGTCGGGGATGCAAAGGCGGAACCTTCATGAAGACTACTGTAAATTGAACAATATTAGTTACATTATTTTTCTTTTTCATTGCTTAAAAATATTGCAATACTTTTAATATTAAATTTTATTTTATATGTTAGTTTTTATTATTTTATATGTTTGTTTGTTATTCACCTATTTTTAACTATAATAAAATTAAATAATTAATTTTCATAACTATACAGGATTTAATTATTAAATATTCACATTTTGGTTCTGGACACAATATTTAAGGCCCAGTACCACCAAGGTATCCTGAATTCTTATATTCATGATGAGAAAGTTTTTCCGATTTATCACTCAACAGGTCTATTATTTTATATGTTAATTTATTATTGTATATGTTAGTTTATTATTGTATATGTTATTTTTATTATTTTATATGTTTGTTTGTTATTCACTTATTTTGACTATAATAAAATTAAATAATTAATTTTTATAACTATACAAGATTTAATTATTAAATATCACATTTTGCTTCCCGACACAATATTTGAGGTCCAGTAGCACCAAGGTATCCTGATTCTTATATTCGTGATGAGAAATTTTCTCTGATTTATCACTCAACAGGCCTGTTATTTTATATGTTAGTTTTATTATTTTATATGTTTGTTTGTTACTCACTTATTTTTGACTATAATAAAATTAAATAATTAATTTTCATAACTATACAAGATTTAATTATTAAATATTCATATAACAATACTTAGTTTGACAAATATTGTTGTTTCCTCATGTTATTTTCTTACGTTTGTTGACTAGAATTGGAGATAGTTTGTATTTGAACTATCAGCTTTTTGACGTATTTTTGGGTATAAGAGATACTTAAATGACTAATTTCTATAACTATAAGGATACTACGCTAAAGGTCACTACATTTTACTACGCTAAAAGGGCACTACATTACAAATTCGAGCATTGCATTAGGCCACAAGATACCACTACAGGGAACTAAAGTAATAATTTATCTAGTTTACTAGTCTTTTAACAAATAAATAATCTAAACCGGATAAAAATAACAAATCAATTTAATCACAAAACAATCACGAAAATACATATACCACAGTAAAAAGTAACTAATTAACATTTTTTTAACAACTAATAACAATTCCTCTATTTTACTACTTTTTTAGCATACTAATTCTATAGTACGGATAAAAAATAACAAATTAGTTAAATCGCAAAAAAATCACAAAATAACATATAGCACATTAAAAATAACTAATATGCAATTTTTATACGAGTTTTAACAAAAACTAAGTCGGAATACCTCGATTTAAAGTTTTTTAAAAGTTGAAGATTTTGTGATTTGAGCCGAAACGAGCAACCCACTCCGAAATAACGCCTTAGCTAGGACGTGGGACCGAGAATCTATGCTTTTTGTGGGACCGGTGAGCTTCACTCGAGCTTTTTTCGCCAACAATATGAGGGGGGGATCGAGTGTTCTGTTCTGGAAGGGAAAGGGACGACAACTTATTTAAGTATAATGCCCTTTATTAAGACGTTATGTATAGCGTTTTAATAAAGAACGTTATATGTATAGCGTCTTTTAAAAGGGCGCTATACTTAACTGGGCAAATGGTCGTTAAAGTATAGCATCCTTTTAAAAGACGTTATATATAAATTGGTCACCAATTTATTTTATATATTTCGGTTCTTTCAGTCTAGAACCACATTATAATTCCGGACTCATATTTTGAGTAACATTAACATTGATTACTGCACCATAAAAATTGATTGTCTTGTTGATAGCGACAGCTTACTTGCAAACTTCCAACTGTTGATGTCAGAGCTCATTTTTTCACGAATCAACGTCTGGAAACATCAACTATACCGAATTATCGTATCGAAATAAAAAAATTTGGTATTTAGCATACGGTATTTTGATATTTGATTTAAGTTTTTAAAAAAATTAGTATTAGGTATGGTATTTGGTATTTTAAGATAAAATACCGAAATACCGATACCGTACCAAAATATATATTATATTACACAACATATATTATCAATTATAACATAAATATAAAAAAATCTGAAATTTTACTTTCCTTTATTCTGTAAGTTCATCAATTAACTCTAAACAAGTAACAAGACATTTCTAATGATCAAATATTCTTTTATGTACAATTTTCTCTATTTGAGTCGATATTTGCTAGTTTTGAACAAAATTTTTGTCAACAAACATTTTCAGTTTTGTATTTTTGAATACTTTAATTAAGAATATTAGAGTGTATGGCTCTATGCACTAGTTAGTATTCAAACCGAATAAACCAAAGTTACCGAACCGACTAAACCGAAAGGAGAAAAACCGAACCATACCGAATTTAATTAGGTACGGTATTGGTATAGAATTTTAAGAAACCGAATACCAAAAATACCGAACCGAAATGTCTAAATACCGTACCGTACCGACCGACGAACACCCCTAAATTATTTCCTATGTATCAGCTGGTTTGCAATTAAGAAGAACAGGAAATTTAATGAAGTGTACATAGGCGATGTGCTTTCCAAATAGACAAGGTTAGAGAATGTTGCGTCTCTCACACATAGCTGACACAATGGAGTAACAGCGTAGTAACAAAGACTCCTGACCAAAATGAAACACTGGCACGCAGGTTCCAATAGACGAACTTGCACGAAGGGCAATATATTTAAACAGCAGCTCAAAAAATACAGAAACATATACACAGAAAATCTAGAGAGTTTATCGGCAACTGATTTGCAGGAGCATTTGCATATTAACACAAGTTTGTCCTTGATGTTGGTCAGTACTCGAGTGTATGCTAATGTCAAATTCAATTCAATTTCCAAGGTCTCAATCTCACATTGAAGCATCCTTCACATCTTTACTCAGAGATTATATTTCTTACCCTCGCAACACTTTGGTAACATCAGCTAAAGCATTGCTGATTTAGTCTCGCATGATGCTAATGAAGCCATTTCAATTTCTCATTCTCAGCAATGAGCAGACTTCAGAACTTTCAAATGGTGTCCCTTGCTAGGGAGGACTTAACCTGCTTAATAGATCTTTCAAAATCACTCCAAGATGGACGGAGCATAGCAACAAATTCATAGATACAATCACTAGCAATGTCACGAAGTAGCCAAGTATTGGGTTAAGATATGATTCATAACAGATTTGTACATCAAAAGAACCAACCTTTTCGCTGATAAATCAGCAGAATCAACTTCATCATCTGTACTCGTGTATGTTCGTCACGTCAAACTGACGGAGCATGCTCTCAGGATTAGATTAAGCAGTCATCCTTCCTAGCTCTTAGTACTCAATCTACTGATGCATTATGTTAAAGAAAACCTACTTTAGTTGTAGGTTTGCTTAAAAAGCTCGACTTACAAGCATTATGAGAACTTATAACCTCCATACAACTATCAATACATGCTGTCTCTGATTGCTTTGACATGGTCATATCCTTTACATGATTTCCCCCACTAGCTAAATTTGAGTACTGCTCATTCTTGACAATTCTATATTGATTCAACGAATAGTCATCTGACTTCGGAGGAGACCAAACATTTTCCGCTGAAACATTTGGGAAAATATAGTTACTTTATCCAGATAGAGAAAGTAGAAATGTGTACAGCAAGAAAAGGTGCAAATTGCTTAGCTAACAAATGGTGAGTTAACCTGTCCACTTATTTTAGCAAATTCTTTTTTACTTTTTCTGGTGATTAGTACTTTAGTACTATCTAATTGCATTAGCTACTTCCTGCTCTATGTAAACCAAGGGGTTAAGTAAATCTAAAGTTTTCCAATACCATTCTTTTCTTGGAGAGCAAAAGATGTACTATAGCTTTCTAAAAACTTGGTGGAGATCTTGCATACTTCCTCATCAAAGCAAGTTCTGGATGTGTTATATCCTTAGAAACATACCTTTCATGCATCTCCTGATCTCCTCTGGCTGCATGGCCTTCACCCCTTTCACTGTTCTGTTCAGTGACTCTGCCATTACCCTTCTGACTTCTGGCGGCGCATTGGGACAACCTTTTGAGGGCCCTTTTGGATCACCTCCAGCCAAATGCGCCTTAAGATGTGTAATTCCTCCGGAAGAAGATATGAAACCGCAATACTTGCAAACAGCCCTCTGCCGTTTTGCATCAACTGGTGTAGCATGTTCCCAGGCAGCATCAAGTGGCCTTCCCCTTCTAACAGATTTTTTTGACGTATGTGCTGCTAATTTAAAGGAGAAAGAGGAGAATGTACAAACAACAGCATTCAGAAATAAATCTTAATTGACGGTGGGGGTATTTAAAAAATTAAAGGAAGAAAAAGAGCAAACAGTTGGCCTTCCTAGCAAAGTAACATTAACAGAAACTTGTTATAGTAAAGGAGAAATTAATAATTATCTGTGATGGAAGCACTTCTAAGATAAAGAAACACAGCCATAGCAAATTGCTCCCGTAATACAAAATTTTAGCAATACGAAGATACTAGTTGCAGGAAAGAATGCCACTTCCCATATGCAGTGCAATTAAAGGTGGTCAAAAGATCGTGAGCAAAAATCATGGATGTACAGCAGCGTAAACCCAACCCGGCTTCCCCCTCTGAGATACCAGAGAGACAGGGAAACAGGAATAGGGATAGGGAATATATTTAATTAAAATTAAGTAATTGGAAAGACAAATCAAACAGCAAACTGAACTAATAAAGAAAAAGAGTGACAGCACTTATCCATTTTCATGGGATAATCCTTTTCAACTTTTACAAGGACAACGAATTACTTTTAGATTGATACACAAAAGGAGGTCACAGGCTGGAAACAGCCTCTTGAATAAATGCAAAATAAGGCTGTGTACAATAGACACAATGTAGTCTGGCCCAAACCAAAAAAATGGAGTTCTGAGTCATACAGATTTTAAGCTAAGTAACAGGAAAGAAAGGGTCATCATGAAAAATGAAAACATTTCAGTTTCTCTCATAACGATAGAAGTAAATTATCTTTCTGTGGAGCAAAAGACTCCTGTCAAGATGTTACAATCTTCCACATTAGAGGATTTAAAATCATCCACATTTTCAGAAACATACCTTCCATGTCAGTCCTGATATCCTCTAGCTGTGGTGCCTTCACCCCTCTTATAGTTCCTTGTAACCATTCTGTCATCACCCTTTTGACATCAGGTGGCACATTTGGACAACCCTTTAACGAACCCGTTGGATCACCCCCACCCAGATGTGTCTTAAGATAAGTAATGCCTCCAGAGGAAGAGACAAATCCACAATACTTGCAAATTGTCCTCTGTTTCTTTCCATCTACTGGAGTAGCATGTTGCCAAGCATCATCAAGTGGCCTTCCCTTTCTAGCTGTTTTTGAGGCAGGTGCTGCTTATTTAAAGAAGGAAGAGGAGGATGTCCAAAGAAAAAGATCTTCACTTCACAGATTTGGGGAGGAGGATATTTAAGACAAAGAATAAAATGGAATAAAAAAACAGAGGTCATCCTAGAACTGAATAAGTGCTAAAAGCAAGTTACAAAAGCAGAGAAACTAGTAATTGAGCATGATGGAAGAGCTACAAAAGTTTAAGTTAATTGGTAAGTAACCCAAATTCTTGAATTTTCTGTCTTTTAAAAAAAATTGTTCAAAAGTAATCTTATCGATGTTGCACCGAAGGTGTTAATATACAATAATCATGTAACATATACAAAACCCTAAAAATCCCAAAATTTATAAAAATTTCATAACCAACTATCCATGCAGATTGGGGTATTCATGCTACAAACCTACACATGGATACAAATCAAATAAAAAGGAACTTTTGACTTTGAACATGGATTTTCAATTCCCTCCAGTAGGAGGAGACCAACTCTTTATGACAGGGTGCTGATGCAATTTAAAGGGTTAGTAATCTTTTATCAGGAGAAAAGGTCGGTAAAAACTAAACAATCAAAGTAAAACACAAGGCTTATAAGGCACACATTCAGCACTATGCCTAAAACAAACTTTTCTATTCCCCTCAGAGATAGAGTCAGAAAGAAACACAAGAATAAGAAAAGGACAAGAATGTCAATACTATTTCATGGAGATTTCTTTCAACTTCACATGGACAATCAATGAAGTACTGTAGATTCATATAGAAATGGAAAATGACAAGAAAGTTGGGGCATTTTTTAGGTCACATCTTTCTGAAACATTACCATCACTCCTCCATGATCTAATTTTCTTTCTAACATTTTGGATTGACAGGAAGCTTTCTTGCTGTGAGATTCTGGCCCCCACACCCAATAGCAACAACGAATGTGCTGAACTATTAGCGGGAGTAGAAAACTGTGGCAGGAGAACGGTTGGTCAAACTAGTGGTATTTAGTACATTGCTGGCCACGAACACATTATTTGTTTACTTCTAACTGCGCTTCTTCCTTTTAGAAAGAGGGAAATGGACTATCATCTAACTTAAATACCGGAGCGCTGCAGCAAATTCCATATTTCTAGTGAACTAAATCACATCGATGAAATGTAATTTCAATTAGCTATGTTACAAATGTATTGAGTGATTAGTGAGCTCTTGTCGTGACTAAATGATCTCTTGCATGCTCCATTGTCCTTAAAAGTCCTATATGATATTTTCTCACAGAGAAGCTTCCAATCATTTAGATCTTCAGTTCTGCTTTTCCATTGTCTATCAATTTCTACTAGCTTGTTATTACTACATGTTTTCTTTTCACATGTTTTACTACTTCGCACTTTCTCAAAACTAGATTCAGTGTAGGGAAAAGGGGAACGTCAGAATTCAGAAGATTGAGAACTTAATGCGGAAAAGTTCAACAGGAAACACTAACAAAGATCTGATGAATCACACGTGCAAGCATTTTTCAGTGTGAAGGACAAGAACTACACGTCACCTCAAGATAGCCCTAATTTTTCAAACTATAAAATGACCATAACTTCAGAGGATGAGGTGATTAGTTTTGTAATGATAACTGAAAAGATCAAATCAGAAAACATTTTTTTTAAAGGTAATAAAATGAATTAAAACATCTTTCTGAACAATAGTGCACAACATGTCCCATAGTAATATGTATCTTTGAACTTCAGTTTAACCACTCATCTTCAAAAATATTTTCCTTTCAAGTGTAGGTACACAGAGCAAATAAATATAGCTGAAATCCACATTACCTAAATATGTTGATGAAGGTGATATGTATTATCATGCATGGGTGAGAGCAAGCAACCAACAAGTTTAGTTACTCAAAGGCTTACAAGGGTCTTTCTTATTGGAGAATTCATTGCAACTTCCATCCTTCCCAATGACAACATCATTAGCTAACTTTGGGGTTGAAGCTTGTGTCACTCGGGTATTATAAATGAAACAATCATCGGATGAGTGTTGAGGAGGAGCTTGTCTTCCATTGAAAACGCCCCATAGATATAATTGACCCTCAAATCCTGCAAATTTAGTGTGGTTAGTTGAAACATGTAAAGAGCTTGTAGGCATTCAAGACTTTGGGATGATAACAATTACTCTGATGCTTTTCTGGCAGTTGAGCAGAGGTAAAAATAAGGAGTTCAGAATCACCAACCAAGGCTTTTAAAGCAAAGTCGTAGTGTCTTAAATTGTACAGCAGATTGTCGAAAACCTGATCATCTCTGAAACACAAAATCATACCAAGATTAGAGGTGGTACAACAGGTGAAGCAGAGATATAGTCTAGGTTGGTTACCGCACCTGCCTTTAACTGAAAAGAAATAAATGGCAATATTATCATCAATCAGTTTAGAACTTTTAAAACTCTTAGGCCAGACATCCAGCCTGGGAAGCAATTCAAAACACAAAACCTCCGCCATCTCTTTAGCTGCCAGCCATACTTTTGCGCATGCTTTACTTGATAGATGGGCCGTAAGATTCAAACTCACTTTCGGATGGGAGATCATGAAACTACCCCTGTGAAATGAGAATAACCACATTTTATACATAGAACTTAATAAGAACTAGTTGCAGCCTCCTCCAAAAGAGGTGAGAGGTAGGATGGAAAAATAATGATAAAGTAGTAGGGTTTGCAGTGTACCGCCATATGGTATCAACAATAGGTTTTGCAGCCATGTCACAATTGTGAGCTGAGAGCACTAATCTTTACCAAGCAAACTTTCTTTCTTTCGATCTGTAAAGATCGTCTTTTTTCACTTCAACAAGCTTTCATCAGATGTCAACCATCTATACTTAACACCATAAGAGAAAAGGTCAACCATAATACAATCTCCACATCCTCATCTTTTCCTCTTTAATCCCGTCTGTGATTGTTAATGTGCATAAGCCTCAAGTGATCAACTACTTTACTAAACCCAAGGCAAGAGAGTTAATCTCAGCTACCATAGAAAACAATGTTCTTTTATTTTTTTTTGTATAAAGTATCATAAAAACTATGTTATACTGTCATCTTTCCTCTCTAAACATGTCGGCTTTATTTATATGGTAAACAGAAATAAAAGATATATAAATTACAACTTCAACATCAGCTATTTCAAGAATAAAACTTTTTTTCTGCTGTCAACAACAACTGCGCCTCAGTCCAAACAAATTGGAGTCGGCTATATGAATCCTAGCTGACCGTATTACTCCATATAAATTCATCTCAGATTATACAGAACAAAATGCTTTTGCCACTGTCCAAAGGAACAAAAGTCTTCTGTTGCTTTTTGGGGGTTAAACTTGACTAAATTTCAGGATGGTCTCTGTTTATATAAATTTAAAATGAAACATATAACTTTAAATTTGTTCTTTGTTTAGATTAAAAGAAGTTTGCTGCGAAAAAAAATACAACATAGGTGATGTTTTAAGCCTCAAAACTTAAAGCAAAAGAAGAAGACTAAACATTTTCTTTAGTTGTAACAAAAAAGGCCCAAAATAGCATATCAAGTATACTCTTGCGGATGAAAGTAGAAAATCACCAATCTATGGTATTTCGTCTCTTGTTTTTCTTTCCAAAATCTAAGTCATGAAATCCATTTACTTCTATTTTCTTCTTCCTCTGTGCATTGCATAATTATAGTACCATAAAAAAGAGGAAAATGATCAGGATAGCTGAAGGAATTAAAAAAAACATAAACTTGAGAAATACAAGTATTATTATTTACAAGTACTATATTAAAAAGAAGATAAAATTTTCACCTGATTCAGCGGAGTCAAGAAAGAAGTTGTCCAACTGATGATGAGCTGAGGAAATGGGTGAGTTTAGACAAGTTTTTGGGGGTTATAGGGTTTCGAAAATCCTTGCATAAAATAAAAGGGGAAAATAGGTTTCAGTAATCGGTAGACATATACACCAAATTTCCCAATTACACCTGTAGTGGCGATGATGCCTCCCCACTCCCCCCGCGCCACCCACCCCCGGGGGTGGGGGCCTTTTTTTTTTTTTTTTTTTTTTTTTTTTTTTCCTTCCTGTCTCTCCCTTTTTCAAAAAATAAAGTATACTCTTCCTTTCTTGACTTCGTTTTTTTTTTGGAGGGTTTCAAGGGATAGGAGGAGAGGATCATGTAAAACTCAAGTTTTTTAAGCTACGAATTTTTGTTGGTAAATCTTTAAATCAAAATTAAACCAACATAAATTTGTTGTGTTTTTCTTATTTTTTATTATTTTTAACCTCAGGAATATTATGTGTATGTCAACCTAAAGTTTTTTTAGTATAGTAAATTAAAACTTTTTTCGTCATGTCTGGTATATATAGTTGAATTTATTAGTTCACTATCTCACTGTTTAACTAAAAAATAGAATTTCAGTCAAAGCTAGAATTTAGAAGAACACGGGTTACTGATAATCAAAAGAATATACAAAAGAAAGTGATTTGGGGTAATTAAAGTATAATCAGGAGAAAAAATAAGTAAATCAAAATATATTCTGATAATATCTCTTGTCCCTACAATTGATCAGATACCTCCCTTTTATAGGTATCTTGAAGATATGCGTTTTCCCCAAATCATAATGAGGCTATTATGAATAATTAAAGACATTGAATGCTACGTTACATAATCATTATAATCAATACAAATTCTCTAATGTATACAATATTTAATGTCTGTCAAATTCTGTATCTGCGCTCTTTACTATGGTCAGATCCATTCCTTTTGATTCTTGGATATAAGTGACTTAAACAGGTATGGCCACCCGTGCCTCTTCCTTTGTCCTTGCTCGTTTCTATTGCTGCTCGTGCCTCTTGACTAATTATAATTCTTTGACTATTTGACCAGTCCACGTGTCTCGACACGTCATCTTTATATAAATGTATTTTTTTCCAATACAGATAGTCCCCCCACTTTTCATTTATTCATCAGTTGAATATTTGGGAAGTGGATTTCATTAAAACGAGAATTTTTGTCACCATTAATGCTATGACAAAATTGACGCTTCAATTGTCACTTCCATTTAATACTCTGTACACGTATCAATTTTCCATTGGTTCTGCAGTTTTGCAGCCTTTTTCAAGGTTTTTATGGTTCCACTATTTATGAAGTGCCAGTTATCATGATTGTGATCCTTCCTTCACTGTACTTTTAGTTTTTCGGTCGATTATCAATATAAATATAACTTCTTCCCTTGTCTTTTACCTCATAAAGTTTTATTGAACACTTAATTTCTCAATTCTCTGTTTACTTCTTCTTTACATCATTCCTCTTCGCTATGTATTCACCAAACCCTCACTCTCGAGAAGTCTCCATTGTTGATTCTTTCCCCAATACCCCTGTTAGGCATAGAAGGGGAGGTAGGCTTCGTAGCTTAGGATCTACTCGAGGTGGTTCGTCTATACCTTCTTCTAGTTCTGGTCCTTCTTCCAGAACCAGAGGTTCCCTTTCTCACAAATCTTCTTCTAGGAGTAAAGAACCTTCTGAACCATTACGCGAGCCTTTAGTAGAAGAGATAGTCCCTACAGAATTATCTTTTTACCACGATAGGGAATCTCTTAGAAACCAAATTTCCGCTTTAGATCGTGTCAATACTTACCCCACTCAAATTACAGAAGTTTTAACTCATGTGGTTCGTAAGGATTGTCATTGGAGTAACGATTTTCTCATTATTATCCCTAATCCGAATCAGAGAATAACTTCTTATTTAACTGGGTTTTCTTTTGTTTACACATACCCTTTTACTTTAGGGTTCAGACCAGCGATTGACCTAGTCATTCTCGAAATTTGTCGTTTCTTCAACGTCTATTTGGTCCAAATTGGTCCGATCATATGGAGGGTTGTTGCCTGTTTAAGGCATTTAGCCACTAAAGCCGAAGTTCCTTTTACTTTCCCCCACTTGATTCATCTTTACTCACCTAGGCTTTTTCGCAATGGTGTTTTTACACTATTATCCAGGAGTAAGAGGGTTTTGGTGAGTCCCGAAGATGACAAAGACCGTGGCTGGTATGCCCGATTCGTTGCTGCCCCCACTGTTGGTTTAGTGGGTGAGGATAATGTTCCCTTCCCTGAGAAGTGGAATTTTGCACGTAAGTCTTTTAACATTCTCGTACCTTTTTCCTTCAAGTTTGCCAACTTCTCTAATTTTGCTTTTGTTATTTTTTTAGCTACCATGGGAGTTGTGGGGGATGTTCCCAACTTCCGTGTTTGGGTAGATAAATTGCTGAAGATCGCACCGATGGACGGTAGGCCTTGGAAAACACTTTCTAACTGTTTTGGTTGGAAGGTAAAGATTCATGGTAAGAATTTATATTTTTTGTGCCTTTCGTGTCTATATTCTCTTTTATTGCTCTAATTTCTATCCTTCTTTTCGTCAGGATTTGTTATTCGAGGAGTTACTGCTGAAGCAGTTGCGGCTTCTCGTGTTTTCTCGGGAACCCGTACTCCTTCAAGAACCCGTATCTCTCTATAAAGAGCCCAGGAAATAGTTTTGGGTTCTTCTTCTGCAAAAAGGAAAGCTGCAGAAGAGGAAGACTCTGAAGAAGAGGGAGATGAGGGCTCCCTGGTGACAAGGCCTCGAGTTAGGAGACGCATCGTCTCTAATGACGAAGCTGAAGTGTCGGTTTCTCTTACCGAACCTGTTGAAACTCCAATAACAATTCCTGACGATGACGTCACTCCCCACGATACTCGTGAGTCTATTGAACAACTTTTCAACAGCGGATTTGGGCGTGAAGATGTAGGACCTGTTTTAGACGAAGTACCCTTATCTTCTTTTCCAACTCTCGTGCTTGTGGTTCCTTACCGGCCCCAGCTATTTTCGTTCCTTCTTCTACTGCTTTCACCTCTTCTTCGGCTCCTCCTTTGACTATTCCCCCTCTTATCGTTCATCATACAGAATTGGGCTCTTCAAGTAGAAGTGACGCTATGAGGCGGGTAACTATTGAAGTTCCTGCTGAGAGCAGCCTTTTGAGAAAGTCAGGTCAGGCAGATGTATGGTTGGAGCCTTTAATCGGCCCAATTAAAAAAGCCAAGTTGGGGAGTCATAGTTCCCTGACTATAATGAATGATATCGTACATGCTACTTTGAAGGTACTTTCCTTCTCTTCCTTTTTTGCTTTATAATTCGACTATCTTTGAGGATTCTTACTTCCTTTTCCCCTTTTTAGGACAACCTTATTGGCACAGAAATGATGAAAAGAATCGCCCCCTTGTAGAAGATAGCACGTAACTCTCAGTTGGAAGCAATCAATTGGAAGGGACAATTTGAGAGTGCACAGATTGATATAGAAGACTTACAAGAGAGCAAGAGTACCTTAGAGCAACGAGTGCGGGCTTTAACTTCAGAATTGGCTGTTACAAAAGCTTCTTCAAGCCAAGCAGAAAAAGAAAAAGAACGTTTCGAGTCCTCCTTCTCAGAGTAATTATCTAAAGCTAGTGAAGAGATTAGAGAGTTAAAAGCTCTTTTGGACCAAAAGGAAGTTTACGCTGGGGAGCTCGTGCAAAACTTGACTCAAGCACAAGAGGACCTCAGAAGCTCTGCTGATAAGGTGCGTGCTTTAGAATTCTCCCATGCCTCTCTTCAAGCTTCCCACAACCCCGCCTTGGCTGAAAATGAAGAGCTAATGAGTGAGATCGCTGCTTGGGAAAAGGATTATGAGATACTTGAAGAAAAATCTGTTGTCGAGACAAGTTGGGCATTTTTGAATTCTCGTCGTGATACCCTACTTGAAGCTGGTCAAGAAAACTTCAACCTAGAGTTGGAGTTAGCTAAGATCAACGAAACCATTGAAAAGGCTCAACAAACTCGGGACTTCCCTTCTCCCATGGCTGAAGCTCCCGTGAATGTTGAAGCTGATATGGGTATCCCAATTCTTTCAAGCCCAATCGAATCTGTTGCTACAAGCCAAATTGAAACCGCATCTGTTGATGTAGCTGCCCAAATTGAACCCACTGTTGTTGATGCTCCTGCTTCGGTTCCTCAAACTTCTCACTGACCGGTTTTGAACATTCTAGTGATTTTGCTTTTGTTTTGGAAAACTATAATCAGACCCTTAACTTTATTTGAGGGTTGATTTTGAAGTCGTAAGTCCCCAAGTCTTTTGTGGGGCAATATATATATATAAACAATCTCGTAGTTTTATGACTAAGTTTACCTTAGTCTTAGATTTTTACATATTAAGAAGTTCTTCGTGTTATTATTATAAACTTCTGTTTTCTTTATTCTTGCCTTAATTTTTAAGGACTTACAGAATAATTTGCATTTTTATTCTTCGAAAATGCTTCTGTTATCCTCATGACTAATTAATTTGAACATAAGTTTTATAAAAGAGGGCCCTTTTATATTTCGACACTTAATGAAGTAGACGTCTCAACTTCATAATGGTGTTGACATACGATAAAAGAAATAGGAACACACATGTTTCTTTGAAATAACTTTGACAAGTTGTTATTGGAACTTATAATACTTTACATGTATTTGAAGTACATCTATAATTTTCTCGTAACTGTTTTTCTTGTAACAGATTTTTACAAAAGAGGAGTAATAGGTATGGGTTTTTTCCTTATAACCCGTTTTAGTATATGGCCTTTACCCTAATACCCTAACTATAATGAGATTTTTTTCTCTCTTTAGCCTCAGCTCGTGGCTCCATCTCGTAACTTTTACTCTGCACTTGACTCTTTTAGGCTTGATTTTCCCTCAATCTTCTTTGCCTTCTTTATACACATGTCTATGTATATTATGTAGTCCCCTAAGTGTTTGAGTGTTGAAGTATGAAGCCTCGAGCACTTGATAGTTCCTCTCATTTGGTCCTTTTCCTGAAAAGGAAAAACATACGGGACTCGGAGGGGCGATTATAGATGAAGACTGCATACCCCATATTTATTTCTATCAGAATAGTTGTAACCCTAGGCCAGGAATTTTAGGTTACTTCGTGTGCCTTATAGGTCGTGACTCATCATTTAGTACGGGATAGCTTTTTGNTCGAGTAAATCTAGATTGACCCGCATCTCCTCGTCATTAGATTCT